GAGAAATTAGAGACATTTATAGCTAAATGGATGCACATTGAGGTGATACTCTTAAGTGAAATAAATAGGACACACGTGTATAAATACCAATACTTTCTCTAGTGTGAGAAACTGAAAGTGTAAATAAGGATAAAAGGTATAATAGATAATGTGAAATAGGAAAAAAAGGGGCAAAGGGGAAGGGGAAGTGGGAGGGGTAGGGGAGAGGAAAGAAGGGAATGAAATTAATATGAGAAAATGGAAAAATGGAAACAAAGTCTTTGTAAACAGGGAGGGATGGAGGCGTTGAAGGGAGGGCAGGGGAAGGGGGAAAAATAAGAACCAAGAGAAATTATGTAAAGGTGCAAATTCCCAATGATGATGTCATTATATTGTATACTTAAAATGTACCAATAAAATAATAATTAAAACAAATTGATGGTTATAACTGATATGTACTGACTTATCCCTGTCATGTTATTTTCCTATTGTTGCAAGTTTTTTTTGTCGTTTTGCTTTTTTTTTTGGAACTGGGGCTTGCACTCAGGACCTTGTGCTTGCAAGGCAGGCGTGGTGCTGCTGAGCTAAATCCCCAGTCCTATGTTATTTTCCTGTTGTTGGTTCCCTCTTTTTTCCCTCTCTGTTTAATTACTTGCCTTGTCTAGTGGATTCATTCTGTTGGGGTTCAGAGAATTGTAGTCTTCATTATCTCTTTCTAGAATGTCCTTCAGAATATTTTGGAGTGGTGGTTTGGTGATTATGAATTTCTTCAGGTGTTCCTATCTTATTTCTCCATAAATTTTGAAAGATAGTTTTGTGGGGTACATCAATCTGGGTTGGAGGTTGTTTTCTTGAAGGGCTTGAAATACATCACTCCAAGCTCTCTGTGACTTTAAGTGTTTATATTGAGAAGTCTGCTGTTATTCTGATGGGTTTTCCTTTAAAGGTGATTTGTTTTTTTTCTCTAACAGCTTTTAATATTCTGACTTTGTGTTGAATTTCTGGAATTTTGATTACTATATGCCTTGGTATAGTTTTTTTTTTACAACATGGCTAATGGGAGTTCTTTATGTCTTATTTATTGGTCTATCAAATTCTTTTTCCATGCTGGGAGGTTCTCTACCATTACTTCTGTGAACAGGTTTTGGGTTTTTTTTGGTACTGGGGATCAAACTTGGGTCCTTGTGCTTGGGGGGCAGGTGACAGAACTGCTGAGCTAAATCCCTGGCCCTGTGGACAAGTTTTTAAAAAAAAATGTCATTTGCACTATTTCCTGCTTTTTCATTGACTCCCATTCATTTTATGTTATTCTTCTTTCCATCGTCTAGCAGCTGTTGGATTGATTTTTCATTGTCCCTTGCTATTTTTAAGAAACCTTTCTTTTCATAATTGCTAACCACAGTCCTGTCCTCTATATCTGATATTCTGTGCTCACATTGGCTCATTCTGCTTTGTATACTTTCAGTGGAATTTTTAATCTCCTGAATATCTGTTTGAATATGTTTCATGGATTCCATTTCTTTCCTATGTTGGGAATTCATGGTTTCCATCATTTTTCTAAACTCCTCTATTTTTAAAATATCTGTGTCTGGTTTAGAGTTACTAACCATGTCTTTCATTATAGCCACCATCTCTGTAGTTAGCTGAGAAATTATTTCTGTTTTGATTTTTTTTGATACTGGGGATCAAACTCAGGACCTTGCACTTGCAAGGCAGGTGGCAGAACCACTGAGCTAAATCCCTGGCCCCGTTTTGATTTTTTCTAAATCCTCATTCATTTGCCTTGTTACTTATGCTGTTACTGCTTTAGAGAGTCCAGGTGTGTGGCTTTCAAATTGTTTCACCTCATTGCCTCCTGGGTTTGCTTTTGGTGAGCTAGAAATCTGGGGTTTCATCTTGCTTTGGTGTCTTCTCATTTGGTTGTTTTTTTTTAGTTTAATTTGTTGGTTGATGCTTGTAAATTGCTTATGGCAGGTAGCTTTATTGCTAGTGTTGAGAACCCTTAGAAAATGACTACTTCTCAGAGATGTCTTCCAGGTGTAGCTGGCTTTTGGGTTTTGAGTCTGTTGCAATATTCCTTCTTTTCAATTTATTGAGGATGAGAAGTTGCCACCTATATGGCCTAGCCCCTGATTCTTTGGCACTGGCCCATAATAGTTTTTGATGCTTAGGCAGTCTCAGTCTTGGCATACCAGGAAGAATGACTGATTAGAACAGTTATGTCACCTTGGCTAAAATAGTATAATCAGCAACAAAAATAGTATCAAACACAGCCTAGAAAATGACAAAATGTGGTAACTATTAACTTGGCACCTTTTAACTGTATGGATTATATTTGTGGTTATATAATGAGATCTAAAACAAACCAGAAAATTGTATACAGTACATATTCCCTCAGTATGGCAATTTTACCCTCAGTGGAGAACTTTTAAAAGAGGTTGGGGGAAAAATAGAGAAATAGAAGAAGAGGAAGAGATTAGAAGCAAGGCTGGGGGCTGGGGATTTAGCTCAGTGGTTCCACCACTTGCCTTGCAGGCACAAGGACCAAGTTTGATCCCCGGTTCCAAAAAAAAAAAAAAAAAAAAAAGCAGCAAGGCGGAGGACAAAGGAAATTATGCAAAACTTGAGAAAATGATGAAGAAGATAGGAGGGAAAGAGAGAAGGAAGAAATAAAAACAAGGACAGCACACAACAACAAGAAGAACAAGCTAGAAAACAATGTTCACACTGATATAAAAATAGGAAAAATCAAGGAAAACAAAAAAGAAGAAAAGAAAAATAATATCTACTTCAGGATGTACCTCTGTTGTCCTTGGTAGACAGATTGGGCAGACAGATCCCAGATCCATGTTGCTTAATCACAGCAAACCAGCCATAGATTTATGGCAGAGTAGTGGATAATCCCAGTAAGCCTGTACCTTTAGTTTCACTGAAGTTCAGATTGGTTTCTGGCTGTGAGGCTGGAACTGGATTTGTTCAGCCTGCAACAGTCTGTGTGCCTCCTGCTGGCTTGAATTTGGCTCCTGATCTCCTCCTGACTTGAACTTCGTTTTGCCTCATCTGACACTGGGAGCCACTAGATGGAGCCAGCCCACAGCTGCTCTGCATTCTGAGCTCAATTGGCCCCTTTCCAAGATGGCTATTGGCCAGTCACCCTCTCCTGTGGGACATCTGAACCCAAATAACTCACCAGCCACTGCAGTCCACTGCATCCACTGCTCTTTACAGTAATGTGTTTCTCCATGGAGGCCTCTAGGGTAGCCAGTAGTCACTGTGTGTCTGCGGCTTTGAGCCATCCCTCCCATACAGTAAGTCAGGGCTCAGGTGAAAGTGCTATTTGCCATCTCCTTCTGCATTGAGGTCTCTCTCTTTGGTCTCCCCATGGGCTTCAATTCTTGCTTCAGATCCTTGCTGGGTCCTGAAGACCCATTTCCTTCCTTCTTTTCTTCTTCACATTGCTATATTACAGCATCTGGACACCAAATCTTAGAGAGGCTGTTCACCACTCCACTATCTTCCTGGAAGTTTCAAATTTAGTTTATTTTTAAAATTTTATTTACATGATTTTTTATTCCCTCTTCTCATTCATTCATTCATTCATTCTTCTTTTTTATTTTTTTACTGTCCCGGGAATTTACTTTAGGGCCTTCACATTGACCTATCCCTACCATCCTATCCCTACCACCACCCCTACCTCCCTTTTTAAATTTCAGAATTAATTTTTTATTTTTTATTTTTTTTCAGTACTGGGAATTGAATTCAGGATCTTGCGCTTGCCAGGCAGGTGCAGCACCACTGAGCTACATCCTTCGCCATCCTTTTAAAATTTGAGACAGTGTCTTGCAATGACCTTGCCAAGGTGCCCTGGCTGGACTTGAACTTGTAATCCTCCTGACTCAGCCTCCTAGTATGCTGGAATTACAGATATGTGCCACCATGTCCAGCTATTCATTTCTTTTAATAGTCATCACAGCAGAGAGGTTATCAATAACCAATGAGCTAGTTTTCAGTGTGCTGAGCCACTAGTGTGCTCGATTGATTACATATGCATTATCTTTCTGGTACTTGCACTATCATTGACTGTAATTGAAGTTTACAGCAGGCCAGTTAGATATCTTTTATAAATATATCTGTTTTAGGATGGATGCAATGATGCACATCTGTAATCCCAGCACTCTAGGTGGCAGAGGCAGTAGGATCTCCAGTTTGAGTCCAGACTAGGCAACTTAGTGACTTAGCAAGACCTTGTTTCAAAATAAAAAAAAAAAAGGGCTAGGTATGTAGCTCTATGCAAAAGCCCTGGGTTCACATTCTCTTTCTCCCCACCCCTTTCTCTCTCTCTATATATTTAAATTTAGAGCAGAGAAGATAAATATCCAAGGAGCTTACTCAGGATATGCAAAATCATAATGACAATAAATAACTCAGATCAAAGTCAAATCTAGTAAATCATGTATCTTTTACACTTTTTACTAGAATTTTGCTGCTTCTCTATAAAAGAATCAGTAACATTTAGAATTGAAAGTAATTATATATATTGGTTAGTACAGCTGGATACCCTACATTCATAATAGAAAATGATTCCTGAGATAAAAGTACAATGATATTTTCTCATTTTATATACACAGGCTCATACAAATATCTACCTACACATATATGCACACATTTGTGGTATAACTATCCATAATCTTTGATGTTATAAAGATATTTTAAAATATATTTTTAAAAACATGCATATTTTAGTCTATCCTTAAATACTTTTTTCTAGATTGCAGAGATACTATGTAACACTGGCGTCAAGCTCTCTGAAGAAGAATTTGAAAATGTGTGGAATCTTGCATCAAAAAAACATCAAAGAGGAGAAGTTTGTGTTGAAAACATCAGAAATGTTCTAGATGAGCTACAGCATGCAGACCAGGTCAAGTGTAAAAAATCCATGTGATGTTTGTGGCATTCATGAGTTTAAATAAAATAATTATTAAATTGTGTACAACTAAAGTGTTTGCCCATTCTGATTTTAGGTATGTTAAAATTCAGCAGACATTCTGTTTGGATTCATACACTGATTACACCTTTGTGTTGTTAATAAATTAGATCTTGGATTTCAATATTTAAAAAAATGTTTTCTATAAATCACCCAAGAACTTGACAAATGATTGAAGAGTCATCCTTCAGCTCTAACAAAGACAGAGTTCAGAGTGATATCAGAAGTTAGGTAGTGCTTAGTAGAGTGAAGAATTCCATACATTTTAGTTGGTTGTCTGAAATTCAGTCTGGCTTGTGATTTTGAGTTCATAAAACTTTGCCTTCACCATTTCATTATTAGGGTTCATTATGAAAAGACTTAAGCTTTGAAGGTTTTTAGTCTTTATTAGCGTTTATTAGGATCTGAGGAAAATAAATTCAATCACAAGGATCAGAATTTAGATAGCAAAAACTAGACCTCCAACAATTACATAATGACCATTAATTCTTTTTTTTTTTTTCGGTACCAGAGATCGAACTCGGGACCTTGCGCTTGCAAGGCAGGAGGCAGAACCACTGAGCTAAATCCCTGGCCCTATGACCATCAGTTCTTAATGTCTTTCTATGGCCAGGAAATATGCTACCATTGATGTGTCTGAAGAGAATACACCTGACCCGTCATTACATGTAGCTTTAGAGGGTTATTAAAGCAAATTGTGCTCAACCATTGCTTCCCTTATGCTTTGGCTCTTTGATGTACAAATGTGATGCTGAAGCCAGATGGGGTGCAATGCTATTACTGTAATACCAGGAGAGTGTATTTCCCTATATCAAACAGGTGCCAGTATGGGCTGAATCCACAAGTGAAGTTTTTTTTTAAAAGACACTTTATCCTCAACTCCTGCATCTTCACTTTTTGCCCTTTGCCTATTAGTGTAGTTCTATTTTTTGCTTGCTTTTTTATTTTCATTTATTTATTTATTTATTTATTGCATTTTTATTATTAGTGCCTCTTTTTTTTGAGACAATGTCTATGTAGTTCAGGCTGGCCTTGAACTCAACTATGTAGCCCAGGTTGGCCTTGAACTTTTGGCAATCCTCCTGCCTCGGCCTCTCATGTGCTAGAATTACAAGTGTGCACCACCACACCCATCTTGAATTCTTTATATATCCTAGATATTAATCCTCTGTTGGAAATGTACTTGGCAAAGATTTTCTCCCATTTTGTAGGCTGTCTCTTCACTCTGTTGTTTGCCCTTGCTGTGCAGAAACTTTAATTTGATGTAGTCTCATCTGTTGATTCTTGGTATTATTTTCTTGAGTCCTATTCAGGAACTCTTTTCTTGTGCCTATGGCTTCAAGTGTTTCTCCTATATTTTCTTTTTTTTTTTTTTTTGAGTACCAGGGATTGAACTCAGGACCTTGTGTTTGTAAGGCAGTCACTGGAACCACTGAACTAAATCCCCGGCTCTCTGCTATGTTTTCTTTCAGCACTTTCAAAGTTTCAGGCTTAATGCCTAGGTCTTTGATCCATTTTGACTTGATTTCTGCTCAGGGTGTGAAAGAGGGCTCTAGTTTCAGTCTTCTCCAGGTGGGTATCCAGTTTTCCCAGCACCATCTATAGAAGCTATAATTTTTCCAATGAACATTTTTGGGTCCTTTGTTCAGAATCAGATGGCTGTGGTTGGATGGATTTGTTTCTGTGTCCTGTGCTCTCTTCCATTGGTCTATGCATCTATCTTTGTGCCAGTACCATACTGTTTACATGCTGTTACTATGGCTTTGTAGTATAATTTGAAGTGAGGCATTGTGGTGCTTCCAGGCTTGCTCCTTTTGTTCAGAATTGTATTGGCTCTTCTGGGTCTTTTGTGTTTTCTATGACTTTTAGGTTGTTTTTTCTTTTCTAATTTTGTGAATAATACCATTGATATTTTGGTGGAGATTGCATTGACTCTGTAGGTCACTTTTGGTAATATGGCCATTCTAACAATGTTAATACTGCTGATCCATGAAAATGGGGAAATTTCCCATCTTCTAGTGTCTTCTTCAATATCTTTAATCATTGAAGCTTTGTCACTAACATAATTTAAGTCATCAAATGATCAGTACTATGCATTCTACTAGTATTTTTCTGGTAGATTTTGAGCAATTTGTTGTTTATTAGTATGAAAAAATACTACTTGACTTAGGTATTTTGGTTATACCATGGTCTAAATTTACTTTAAAAAGAAAGACCGGGGCTGGGGGAGTAGCTCAGTGATGGATCAATTGCATAGCACATATAAGGCCCCGAGTTCAAGTCTCAGCATAAAAATAAATAAATAAATAAATAAATAAATAAATAAATAAGAGATCTATGGTTTAAAATTTGCTTTACCCAGTCTCCAGGAAAAAAAATAAGCTTATAATAAATTTATTATGTAGGTCATTCATTAATTCATTCATTCATTTTCAAAGTGCTGAGAATGAAACCCATGGCCTTGTACATGGTAGACAAATGCTTTACTGCTGAGTTACATCCAGATGTTTCTTTTATTTTGAGACAAGATCTCACTATATAGCCCAGCCTGATCTTGAAGTCACTATCTTCTTGCCTCTAGAGTGCTAGGATTATAAGTATGCACCACACACCCAGCAGGTAAGTAAACTTGAACTGTAATTTATGTCATAGGTTGTCAGAGATGTGGTAATATACCAATAGTAAAGGGCAGGGGAAAGGAAAGAAGGGAAAGGAAAAATGCTGAGAAATGGAAAAAATGGAAATAAAGTCTTTGTAAATAGGGAAGGGTGGAGGGCGTGAAGGGAGGGCTAGGAATGGGGAAAAAATAAGAACCAAGATGCATTATGTAAAGGTACAATTCCCAATGAGAAATGTAATTGTATTGTATACCTACAATGTACCAATAAAAGAATTTAATAAAAAAAATACCAATAGTAAAGGGATTCATGTTTATGTAGCAGACAGAAAACTGGACCAGAAAAACAAGATCTTGGATTTTTTACATTTTTCCTTTTTTCATTAAAAATTTGTTTATCTAGGGGCTGGGGATTTAGCTCAGTGGTTCTGCTGCCTGCTTTGCAAGCACAAGGTCCTGAGTTTGATCCCTGGTACCAAAAAAAAATTTTGTTTATCTTTTAAAAACCAATTATATAAAAAAGTTAGGCTTACAGGTAGTGGAGCTCTTTTCATATGTAAGAAAATGGTAGGATTAGAGAATAATAAGCATTCTCTTGAAATATTTTCCAAATTCATGTTCTTTTAACCCTCTGGGCTTAAATAATCATCCTATAGACAAGCAGGCACATGCTTATTGACCTTGAGGCAATAGATAAACCATCTTTTGGGATGGTCCTGACCTGTTTTTTCTTTTTTTAGACAAGATGTTTCTATATAATCCAAGCTGGCCTTGAACTCAATATGTAGCCCAAGCTGGTCTTGAACTTGCAATACTCTTGCCTCAGTCACATGAGTGCTAGGATCACAAGTGTGTGCCACCATGCCCAGCCTGACTCACTTAAGAAAAAAACCTGCTCCCTCAGTACAACCTCATGTGTCCTCCTTACATATCACTGGCAGACCGTCTAGATTTTGCTCCTTGTAGGCTATAATATGGATCTGAACTGTACATTTTCAACTTGAATATAATGGTTTACAAGTCAGAAAATTAACTTTCTATTCTGTTTCTCATTTCAAATTATGACTAGCCACATTGTACAATGTATATAAGGCGTTCTGTAATGAGAATAAATGATATTATTAGGATATCCAGTAATAAAATGTCAGCATAGAGATGTTTCAAATTTGAATAAGCTTCCCAGACTTGAATTCACAGGGAGAAACTAATGTCAATACATCATATCAAAGGATTCATTCCACGGATGGTTCGACATAAGCAAATCAATAAATAATACATAAACAGAAGCACGGAAAAAAACACACGATCATCTTGATTGATGCAGAAAAAGCCTTTGACAAAATCCAACATCCATTTATGGTAAAAACCCTGAAGAAAATAGGTGTACAAAGACCTTGTCTCAATCTGATAAAAGCTATTTATGACAAACCAATGGCCAACATCATATTAAATGGGGAAAAGGTGAAAACTTTCTTTCTAAAACCAGGAACAAGACAAGGATGTCTGCTATTACCAACCCTGTTCATGTCATTCTCAAAACAGCCAGATCAGGCAAGGGAAAGACACAAAAGGGATATGTACAGGAAAGGGAGAAGTCAAATTATCATTATTTGCAAACAATATGATCCTTTACATAGAAGACCCAAAAAATTCCACCTAAAGACTCCTAGAATCAATAACCAAATTCAGTAGCATAGCAGGATAGGAAGTCAACACACAAAAATCAATAATGTTTCTGTACACCAGTAATAAACTCACTGAGAAAGAAATTAAGGAAATACCATTCACATTAGCATCAAGAACAATTAAATGCCTAGGAATTAACCCAATGAAGGAAATGAAAGACCTCTACAAAAAAACCTATGGTACTCTGAAAAAGGGGATTGAAGAGGATATCAGAATGTGGAGATATCTCCTGTTCCTGGATGTAGTCAAAATGGCCATACTTCCAAAACTGACATACAGATTTAACACAATTCTAATCAAAATACCATTCATCACAGAACTAGAGAAAACAATCCTAAAATCCATGTGGAACCAGATGAGAACTATGATAGCAAAAACAATCCTGGGTAACAAGAGCAAGGCAGAAGAAATTGCAATTCCAGATTTCAAGTTATACTACAAAACTACAGTGATAAACACCATGACATTGGCAAACAAACAAAAAAACAAATATGTGGATCAGTGGAACAAAATAGAGGATACAGGTTCCAAGCACATTCATCTACCTGATCTTTGACAAATGAGCCAAAAATTTACACTGGAGGGAAGTAGCCTTTTTAACAAACAGTGCTTGGGAAAACTGCCTAACCACCAAATATTTAACTAGACCCAAATCTCTCACCATGCACTCAATTAAAACAAAAATGGACCAAAGATCTAAATATTAAAACAGAAACAATTTGCTTAAAGATAAAATAGGTAAAACTCTTAAAGACAGGTGTAGGCAAGGACTTTCTGAGCAGAAGGCCAGTTGCACAAGAGATAACACAGAATCAACAATGGGATCACATCAAAATAAAAAGCTTTTCCACAGAAAAGGAAATAGCCAGCCCAATGGGACTTACACAGTGGGAAAACATTTTCCAGCTATTCCTTGGACAGAGGACTAATATCTAGAATATATGAAGAACTCAAAAAATTAGACCTCCCCATATAAAAGACCAAGTCCCAAACCGGGCAACTGACATGAACAGACACTTCTCAAAAGAAGTACAAATGGTCGATAAATACATGGAAAAAAATGTTCAACACCACTGGTCATCAGAAAATTCAAATTAAAACCACATCAAGATTTCATCTTACTGTAGAAAGACTAGCTACCATCAAGAAATCAGGTAACCGAAAATGCTGAGGAGGCTGTGGGAGGGAAAGGAACCCTTCATTGTTAGTGGGAATGTAAACTAGTACAAGCACTGTGGAAATCAGTGTGGAGGCTTCAAAAAGCTAAACATAGAAAGTCCATTTGGCCCAGCTATTCCCCTCCCTAGATATATCTTCCTGAAAGAGTTAAAGACATCATATTACAGTGATACATGCATATTTAGAGCAGCACAATTCATAATAGCTGAACCTGGGACTTGGTTTAAATGGTAAAATTTTCTTGATAAAGAAAATGTGACATACATGACTGAGTACAACTGAGTACTACTCTGCTATAAAGAAGGATAAATTTAAGTCTTTTATAGGCATATGGATGCACCTTGAGACCATAATGTTGAGTGAAATAAGTCAGACACCCAAACTTAAATATGGCATAGTTTCTCTTATAGGAGAAACGCA